ATATGATGATCACATCTGCAACGTGAAGTACACCTTCATAAACTTTTTACTTGAGGGCCTCGCAATCCCATCAGAAGTCCTCCATGACGTGCTTCTGACAAACTGAGTGGCAAATGAAGTGAGTATTTCGTTACAGGTTTTGGGTTAAAGTACCCCTCCAAGTTTGGCAAAAGTCCTGCCCAGTTGATTGTTTGTCCTGACTAATCCCACGTGTACTCATTCAGACTCAAGTCACCGATCGCACCAATCAAGGAAGGGTGCGCCAACATGCTCCAGTCGGGGAAGAGCCACGTCGTCACAGAATTCTTCAGTCCTGCTTTATTGGTAATCGATGTTCTCCCAACATCCGAATGTCTTCTTTACTATTAATATTTAGGTGTCTCTAAGGCGGTCGCACTCAGATAGGATCCTAGGCGTCCCTTTCGTGCTTTCGCGAAACACTGGCATATCGTGCGCAGAGCGGGCGTGTGTGACACGAGCATTCTTAACTCTGCCCTGACAACGGGACCAATAGGTGAGAGAGGGGCGTCTGCAACAGATACTGCGCAAGTCTACTACCACTTCAAACTAATTTATGCTCAAGTCACCATCACTGCGCCCCCTCCGCCTGCCGTGGGGCAAACGGTGAACATCGTCGTCTGCAACGGTCAAACTGTCATTTAGATGCAGAATCAACTGAGCCGAGGTACACGCCTTAGACGTGTCTACTTTTGCGACCGAACTCATTCGCCCATGAACCAAGTATCCGCCAAGATGTTGAGAACTGACGAGTCGCGTAATGCTCGAGCGAACGCGAACGGTTTAGCCTTTGTGACTCAACAACCAATCTTCCGTGCAGCCTGCATGCTAATGAGTCACACCCGACTTGCAGTTGAGTCACCAATAGTAGCTACAGCTCCAGCCCCGAACGGCCGTCGACTGAGGCGGGGAGGATTGAAGTGCACAAGCGATCTGCTTTTTGTGGGAGGGGGGGGCATTGTCTGATGGTATGTGCACACTCTGTATTGACAGCCTTTCAAAAGTCCTTAAATGGAACCCGAGTCCGTCTTTGAGTGCACTTGCGTGTGAACGATAAGTGAGGGAGCAGTGTCAGTCGGGGGAGGGGGAGGGCAGGGGAACGTGAGCGGCGATGAAGGCCAAAACCTACAGCTGCCAAGTCCGTTCTCATCTTGCAAAAGGCAAAGGGGGGCAAAAACACTGCCAGCACGAACCTGGTTGGTGGACAGTCGCTTTCCGCTGTCGCGCGCGAAGGCGATGACGGACGCGCGTACTAACCGTGCGCATATAACCGATACAAACGCATTGATTAGCATGAATTTGCATGCATCGAAGACAACCGCGTGGTCTCTGAGCCTTTTGTCTCTGCAATCGAGTAGCGGAATTAGTCGGAACTTTGCAATCCGCCGAGTCATCTAGTTCTCTTTGGCCTCCTCAAAACCGGGCGTACTGACTGACAGAAGATAAAGAGTACATGCTGAAGTCACTGTCGGTTGCTTTTCGAGGCAAGGTAGTCTGAAGCGTGACCTCTTTAAGGTACTTCGGTAGGACACGTGGATAGGAACCTCCGTAATACAGGGTTATGGCCAAGGTTAAGGTTCGGGTTAGTGTGAGGTCTAAGACACAGGAACAAGTGGCTCCCTGGAGTTTAGGACAAATCCACCAACACTACCGGGAAAAGGGGTTCTTACCACCTTGTCTCATCGGAACCGCTGCAGGGTGCTCTTGAGTTCTCTTTCAACGGCTCCGGAGGACCTCCTATGTCCAAGTTTACGGGAGATCGCCGATTCTACGGAGTCCTTGCTTCTGCTGCCAAAACTAGCGGGAATGGGACATTTTTTGTTGGTGTATCCGCCCAGTGTGATCTGTTCACTTTCCACCTCTGTTTCCGCCCTGGAAAGCCATGCTTAGCTCTGTTTGAAATGGACTCACGGAATGCACCATGGGTAACTCAGTGCTCCGTTAGGTTTAAGCTAAAGAAGTAGAACCACTTGTCCCTAATGTACGTGCAGGCTCGAGTTCAAGTTTAACAGCTGTAAATTTCACTGAGATCCTACGTTGCCGTCCCTACTGATGAGTGAACTCGAAATGTCAGACGAATAAAAACCTTGTTTCGGCAGTTAAGTCTCCTTCATCGCACTTGATCTGTTCAGGTAAATTGGGTCGACACGAGAGATGTCGGAGATTCCATCTACAGAAAACTATTTGTTAAATCAGTAACGTAAAAAGCACTAGCTTGATGCCCTCGTCAGATAGCAGTAGCTTGCATATCAATATAGACCGTTCGTCAGGACCTTCATCTACGCAACCGATGGGTTCGTGTGCACGTCAAGGCAGGTACAACTCGAAATAAGGATGCAATAAAACCATCTGGCTCGGCGATGAAGTTTCACTTAAAAATAGGAACCTAAAGGATAGATCATTTGTTTATAACAGATAAGACTAGTACCCCTACCTTTTTACGGACAGGAAACGAAATAAAGGAAGAGGAGGACTTGTCCAGCACCGGGGCCATTTGCTTGTTATTCTGAGCATTTAAACTCGTCAGAGATGACAGCAGCAGCAGAACAGGCGACAGTTGTAGGGTGTATTAGTCAATTAACTACCGGTAGCACAGGTTTGGGGGGTGACTGCGCAGGGCTCTGTATGCCGGTGTCAGGTCAATGCATCGATTGACTGAGTTTGTAGCGGGCAGCCATCATGACCGGTCTGGCGTCATTGTCCAAGACCTCGCTGCCTCAAGGCCATCCACCCTTTGCAGTGAGTCCTTCCATACGCACTGATCTGAAGTCACACGACCGACAGCTCGGGCATACCTGCGTCCGCACAGCCGCAGCTGCCCATGAGGCCACTTGAACGCACCCCACCCCCTGCAAGCACAACCTAAGCCACCGGAACACCACTCAACGGCAAACGCAATGCACACTAACTTGCCACCACTTGAGCTTGGTCCACGAGCCTATAAAAGCGACTGCCACCACTGTCCCAAGGACTCTCAGGCATGACTGGACGCAGTCAACACCAGCCTTGGCTTCGCCGGTGGCCACTGCCGCCTGAGAGGACAACTCCGGGTCCTGTATACATTAAACCCACATTCTAGTGCCTTCCGTCTTCTCCCTTCAACTTGGGATCTGGCTTGACGATAGTAGCCCTCTCAATACATACATACTTACTCACGCCGCCTGGTCGCAACAAGTTCTCATCCGAAGCTCAGGCTTCAATTAATTCTCGACTTATCTTGTTTCTGGCGTGGGTGCTTATCTTGGTGGCTGCGAAATTAAACTCGTGACCTCTTTCGAAGGTGTGGACAGTCGCTGGTGATAATTAGTCACCCGTCGCACAGCCAGCTTATGTCCGTATATGCGCGATCTGAACATGCGCTCAGTCTGACCTGTGTCATTTGGGGGGGGGGGAGTGACTTCATCGGTCCTTTATTTTCATGACTCTGTTGCATAAGGCTGCTCTAACCTGCTCCCTGGGAGTTAATCAGTCTTTGATTCTCATGATTCAGCTGCGCATGGTAGCCTTGCGCCGGAGTGCAATCTCAACACCCAATCCCACAGAAATGCATTCGGTAGCATCCGAAACGTCCTGGCTGTATGATAGAGTATGCCACATCCTCGATAGGGTTTCCTCCAAATGTCATTTTGCATAAACTGGTCGAGGAAATGTCGGACCTTGAGTGGGTTTTCTTCCGGGTTGCCTTTCTGAACCTGGACCCCTTTTGCAGAGCGTTCCCACAAAGTTTCGTTTGTGCGTCACATTCGTCCGTTTCCCGCGGGACTTCCAAACCCTAAAGCGCTACTGTATGCTTGGCTTGTCCAAACATGACAGTTCGACCGTCGATTTCGACGATGAGCACCGTGTGCTCCACAGCACATCAAAAGCAGGGACGGCGGCTTGAGCATGAATTAGTTTATAATTATGGAGGACTACTCCTCCTCCTTCGACGATGAGCACCGTGTGCTCCACAGCACATCAAAAGCAGGGACGGCGGCTTGAGCATGAATTAGTTTATAATTATGGAGGACTACTCCTCCTCCTCCTCCTCCTCCTCCTCCTCCTCCTCCTCCTCCTCCCCCACCTGGCCCGGTGTCAAAGCATGCAGTAGGTGGACTAACTCATGAAATGTCAACCGAAATTCCGAATTGCGTTTATGTTTCGGAAATATTACTTAAAAAGGGCTGTAAAACTAATCATCTTGCAACGTAATTCCATGAACGAACTTCCTTTCGGCTGCATGAACAAACTATACTCTGCAAACAATGACTACGTAAGGAGCATGCATTTTTCCCATTGATTTTCAGTGCCCTTAAAATTCAATTATATTTTTTGGAAAACATGCATTAAGATATTGATTCTTTTGTTTATTCGGTAGAAAATTACGCATTTTTCCAACCTCATACTTAAAAGAAGGGTATAATTCGGTTTTGAAAAACTTTTCCAATTCCCGAATAATTTTGAACCCGACCTACAGTATCACCTGCATTCGGGGTTTCCAAACTACAAGCCGTATATTTTCCACGTACGGAAAACCATAAATTTCTCAACGGTATTAAGTAGTCATCATATGGGGTTCATAAAACTCAGCAGTGGGTTTGAGCCACATTGTTAACTTTACCAGCCACATTGGTAAATGCAGAGACATGACGTTTTACGAACAACCATTTCACGGTATTTAAAAGTTCCACAATTAGAAACTTTTTTAAAACCGAATCATATCCTTTCTTTGAATATAAAGTTGGGAAGAGACACCATTCTCTACCGAATAAGTAAAATAATGAATATTTTTATGCATGTTTTCCATGAAATATAATTGAATTTTTAAGGGGATCGAAAATGGATGAGAAAAATGCATGCTACTTAAGTAGTCATTGTTTACAGAGTATGGTTGTTGCATGCGACCGGAAAGAAGATCGTTCGAAAGCTGGCCTCCTGGGGTAACAGAATGATTATAGAATTATGCTGCGCAATGATTAGTTTCAAAACGCTTCTTAATTAATCTTTTCGAAACGAAAATGCATTTCGGAATTTCGGTTGATATCTCATGAGTTAGCCCCACCTACTGTAGTAAAGAAAACCGGAGGCGGGAGAGGGCGCGGGTGGCTGGCACGGCGTAAGTCCGCACCTAGGCGCGCCACCACACCCACTGATCCACAACGTACACTGACCAGGATTTTACACAGCAGAAAGAAGGGAGCGGATCAGATCCAAACCGGCGCAGCGCGGACCTGTACTGGGGCCTGCCGTCGCAATCCAATGCTACCATTTGTTATGGCTGTGCATTCCCGATGACGCCTGCCGGACTCGATGTAGCCCTCCCCCCGTTGGCTCAGCGCATTTTATGAACACCGTCCAAACACAACATTTT